TACTTTAATGTTTAAAAATAGCTCAAAAGAACATTTTGCTGCTGATTATCTGTAACACTGGTTTTGTATTTCATGAGCAAGTACATGTCATGTTTTGATCAGGTTCTCCTAGGCTATGCTTTTGATTCTCAAGTGTTTCAAAATCTAAGGATATTACTCAGACTCAAGATCAAATTCCATCTCCAAGCTCAAAAGTCAAACCAAGTCAACCATCACAAGTAATTGAAATACGTTAGGTATAAATTATCCTGCCTTAGGGAGACAGAAACCTTTCACTGTTACATAAAGCTCTGTATTATTTATTCTCTGAAAATTAATTTTATTGCATTTCCTTTATTATGCCACTCTCAGAATGAATGACTGTATGTAAGAATTTGACATATGATCAACATCTGGTGTTTCAAACATTTCTCTTGTCTGTATTTCAGAATGCAAGTTAGACATATGATAAAAGGCAATTCATGGTTTCTGTGTGGTTGGGTTATTTTCCCCTCCATCAGTATTATCAAAAGATTATAAAAATAATAGGATAATTAAACAGTTCCACTGTTTTAACTGGTCTAAATAATATAAATAAATCCTAAATATAAATAAACCCTAAATAATATAAAAAGTAATCCAGTTTACAGTATAGCTTTCACTAAATGTTTCAGCAAACCTGATTTTTTTTTTTTCTTAAATGGACAATTTCTATATGCTTTCTTCTGGTGCTCTGTCCTTCAATTCTATAAGCTTTATGTAAATGACATTTTCTGCATCTAGAGTAGTCTTCATTCTAGAAAACTTACTACAACTGTAAACAATCTGTGCAGGATATCCCTTTGATGCTTAATATGGGTATGTTCACTGTCAAAACAGGATTGAGTTAACCACTGCTACCACTTTTCTCACATACCATGTAAAATCATAAACAGACACATGTATTGCAGAAGAACTGACTGTGCAATGTGCAACTTAATTTGAATAATGCTGACAAAGAAAGATATTGATTTAAAAAAGCATTAATTAAAAATAGTTCAAGAACATATATGATGTTAAGAATACTATTCAGTATTTTATAAACTTTTTGATTTGCATGAAATAAGTTCTAAAATTGTAATATTGAACTATGCTTTGTGCAAACCTTCAATTAAATTGTGTAAAACAAAAAAGCCATGAGTAATATTGCTGGAGAACTGTTGGCATTTGAACTACTATTATGCTAAATCATTTGCAATTGAAAAAAAAAAAAAAAAAAAAAAAAAAAGTGCCTAGCTCTAGGATTCTACTTATTCTATAAAATATTACTTATTCTTGGAGAAGAAGGAAGCCAGAAAGAGAGACATTTCCCCATTTTTATTTACAAAAATGTGAAATTATAAATAGATGCATGGGATAGCTATAAAGAAATTACATGTGTATTAAAATCTCATAGAATTATGACTCTGTGTGCTATCAGGATGCCACAAGATCTTGGATTTTGTACATAATGTCATTATCTACAAAATCTTCTATTATTCTGTATGAGACAAGGAACCACTGATAAAACAATATCAAATGCCTTTAACATGTATAGTTTTATGTGTTTTTAAAAAAAACTTTTAAAGGAAAAGGTTTGTGAAAATTTAGGACTATATGAAAATTACAAACAGACAAAAAGATGTCTAATATTATCTGAATTCTATTAAAAACTGCAACATATGAAAAAAAATTAGCTTTCTGATGTGAACTCCACTCTAATCTAAACCTTTTACCTAAAGAAAAGTGGCAGTAACAAACTCTTACTTTAATACACTAAAATCCATTAACCTCTAACACCAGTAATTATCGTGGGTTTAACTTTATATCTAAATGTTAGACTCTGGAATGCTACCAGCATTTGAAGAATCACAACCGGACTTACACTCTCTTACCTTTAAGGTTACCAGTCAAAATTCCAGAGGACTGCCTTGTGTAAAAAAACATGGCTCCAGGCAATAAAGACTGATCACTGTCCTTGCTATTACTTCTCATCTGTCATGAAGAATTTTTTTCCCCAGACATGCTAGGATGTACTTAATTTAAGTTGAACAAATTTCAGAAACTATGACTTTATTCACTCAATAACTCACTAAAACAAAGCTATGTTGAGTGGTATCACCCAAACAGTGGTGTTTATCTTGCAGTAATATAGTAGAAGAAGCTTTGTTACATAATTAATTTAGAATTCATCTTGTTGGAATTTAAATTCATGAATAATCATTCAGATGTTCAGGAAGTCATCTCATCACTTCCAGCAAGCTACGTCAAAGACAGCAAGTGTGGAAGTAAATGAGAAGATCCACCATGAAAATTGGCATCATATAGTTGAAATTTAATTGAACATACTTATGTTTGCTCAAGTCTGATATGATTTTTACCTGAAGACTCACCTGTATTTTTAATCTTTGAAGCATTCACAGGCTTTTAAGATCACTGACTCCAACCATAAACCTAACACTGCCAAGTCCACCACTAAAACATGTTCTTAAGAGAGATATCTAACCATTTTTTAAATAATTTCAGGGATGATGAATCAATCCTGGGCAGCCTGTTCCAGCGCTTAATAACCCTTTCAGTGAAGAAATGTTTCCTAATATCTAATCAAAACCTCATCTGGCACAGCTAGAGGCCATTTCCTTCCATCCTATCCCTTGCTGCTTGGGAAGAGATCCACACCCACCTTGTTACAACCTCCTTTCATGTCGCTGTTCCCTAAGTTGCTCCTCATAAGACTTCAGCTTTAGACTTTTCACCAGTTTTGTTGAACTTCTTTGGACGTGCTCCAGCAATTCAATGTCTTTCCTGTAGTGAGGGGCCCAAAAATGAACACAACATTCAAGGTGCAGCCTCACCAGTGCCTAGTAGAGAGACAATCACTTCCCTAGTCCTGATGGATACTATTTCTGATACAAGCCAGGATGTTGCCAGCCTTTGTGGACACATGGGCACACTGCCAGCTCATAATCCAGCTGGCTGTTGACCAATACCACCAGGTCCTTTTCTGCCAGGCAGGTTTACAGCTACTCTTCCCTCATCCTGTAGTGTTGAATGGGGTTGTTGTAACCCAAGCGCAGGACCTGGCACTTTTTGAACCTCAAACACCTGGTCTAAGCCCGTTGATCTAACCTGTCCAGATCCCCCTGTAGAGCCTTCTTTCCCTCAAGCAGATCAACACTCCCACCCAACCTGGTGTTCTCTACAAACTTACAGAGAGTGCAGTCGACCCCCTCATCCAGATCATTGATAAAGTTATTAAACAGAACTGGCCCCAGTATTGAGCCCTGGGGAACACCACTTGTGACCAGCAGCCAACTGGATTTAATTCCATTTGCCATCACTTTTGTGTCCAGACATCCAGTCATTTTTTTTCCCAGCAAAGAGTCCACCTGTCCAAGCTTTGAGCAATCAGTTTCCTCAGGAAAATGTTTTGGGATATGGTGTCAAAGGCTTAACTAGTGTTCAGGTGTACAACATCCAAGCATTTCCCTTATACCCTAGGTGGGTTAACTTGTCATAGAAGATCAGGTTTGTCAGGCAGGACCTGCTTTTCATAAACTCATGCTGACTGGGCCTTTTCACTGTTTGTCCTGTATGTGTTATGTGATGGCTCTCAAGATGATCTGCTTCGTAACCTTCCCTGGCACCAAGGTTGTGTTGACAGGCCTGTACTTCCCCAGATCCTCCTTCTGGCCCTTCTTTTAAATGGATGTCATGTTTGCTAAACTCCAGTCAACCGGGACCTCCCCAGTTAGCCAGAAGTGCTGATAAATGATGGAAAAGTGGCTTGGTGAGCACTTCCACCAGCTCCTTCAGTACCCTTGGGTGGACCCATATGGCCCCACAGGCTTGTGTGTGTCTAAGTGGTGTGGCAGTCCGCTAACCATATCCCCTTGGATTATGGAGGCTTTATTCTGCTCCTCATCCACTGTCTTCCAGTTTAGAGGACTGGGTACCCTGACAACATCTTGTCTTACTACTAAAGCCTGAGGTAAAGAAGGCATTAAGTACCTCAGAATTTTCCTCAGTCTTTGTCACTATGTTTCTCCACATCCAATAAAGGATGAAGATTCTCCTTAACCCTCCTTTTGTGCTAATATATGGTTATCTCATTTTATAATTGAAGAGTTAAAACAGGAATGGTGCAATTAATCTGGTCTAATTTAAGTGCCTACAAGATTGAAAATTAAGAAAACTGGGTATTTTTCAGAGAGGAATTCAACTCTTCTCTGTGCTGGTTGAGGCCCTGCCGGGACCCGAGACCCAGCCGCCGTTGTCCCTCCCCCACCCTCAGACTGGATGGGGCAGGGAGTGAGATACAAACCCTGGGGTTGAGATGAGGAAAAATTTAATACAACAGTGTAAGAAACAATAAACCGAACAACAACTATAGCAATAACAACAACAATAAACAGTAATAACAGTAAACAGGACAAAAGATATACAGAGATATATGACAAAAGACACAGCAATCCTGTCACACATGCTCTCAGGGACAAAAGCAACACACAAACTGTTCCTGTGCTTTGGCATCTGGACCTGACATCAGCATGGTATCAAATAACCTGGCTGCATCTCCCTTCCCACTGCTGGGGAAACTTAATCCTATCCTAGCTGAACCAGGACAATTGTCTTCTACAGGAGCAACCAGATCAAGTTCTAATAGAGCTTTGGCCCTTCTAATTTTCTCCCTGCATAACCTCATGACATCCTTGTAGTCCTCCTGAGTTTCCTGCCCCTTCTTCCAAAGGTCATAAATTCTTATTTGCTCTGAATTCCAGCAAAAGTTCTCTGTTCAGCCAGGCTGATCTTATTCCTTGCTGGCTCGCCTTTTGACACATAGTGATAGACTGCTCCTGAAACTTTAAGATTTCCTTCTTGAAGAATGTCCAACCTTCCTGGACTCCTTTCCCCTTCAGGACTGCTTCCAAGTGCACTCTGTCAGCCAGGTCCCTAAACAGGCCAAAGTCTGCCCTCCAGAAGTCCGTAATAGCAGTTCTGCTAACCCCCCCTCCTTACTTTTCCAAGAATTGAAAAATCTATCTTTTAATGATTGCTGTGCCCAAGAGAGCCTCCAACCATCACATCACTCACAAATCTTTCTCTGTTCACAAACAGCAGGTCCAGCAGGGCACCTAGTTGCCTGCCTCACCAGCTGTGTCAGGAAGCCATCTTCTGCACATACCAGGAATCTCCTAGACTGTTTCCTGTCCACTGTATTGTATTTCCAGCAGACATCTGGGAAGTTGAAATCCCCAACAAGAACAAGGACTAATGAATGTGAGATTTCTCCAAGCTGCGTATATTTCACCTGTGATTTCATCCTGGTTAGGTGGTCTATATCAGACTTCCATGATGTTATCTGCTTTGTTGGCCTTCTCCTTGATACTTACCCATAAATAATCAACTCTATCATCACCACCATCAAGCTCTAAAAAGCCAAAACACTGCCTAACATACAGGGGTAATCCAGAGCCTCTCCTTCCTTGTCTATCCTTTCTGAAGAGCTTATAGCCATCCATTGCTGCACTCCAGTTGTGTGAGTCATCCCACCATGTTTCTGTGATAGCAACTATGTCAGTTTTCCAGCTGCACAATGGTTTACAACTCCTGTTTGTTGCCCATGTTACATGCATTGTTGCAGATGCACTTCAGTTGGGATATCAATACCACCACTGATTCTGGGGAAGAAGCCTTGATTCCTATTTGACCATTCCCAGGCACTTTCACGGTTTCTACCATATTAACAATCCTTTAATCTTTGCTGCTGCATGGATCTCCATCCCCTACCTTCACTGAGATAGAAAGGGATTTTGCTAACACACTGTTCCTCAAACACCAATGTGCCACCCTCAGGCTTATCTCTAATGAGCCTGGTTTTATCCTTTTCCACCTTCAAATGTAGTTTAAAACTCTTTCAATGATTCCTGTTAACTCCTGAGCAAAGATCCTTCTTCCCCTTTGAAACAGGTGTATCCTGTCTGTCATCAGCAGACCTGGTGTCATGTAGTCCAACCCATGATCAAAAAAATCCCAAAATTTTGCCAGTGACACCAGCCTCAGCGCCAGATATTGATATGCTGGCTCATCTCTGCAGTTGGAAGGATAGAGGAAAACTACCTGTGCTCCTGATTCCTTAATCAGTCATCCCAAGTCTCTAAAGTCTCTCTTGATTATTCTTGGACTTCTTGTTGGAACTTCATTACTGCCTATCTGAAAAATCAGTAATGGATAGTAATCTGAGGGCCATGCCAGTGTAGGAAGTTTTCTCTTCACATCTTTAACCCAGGCCCCAGGGAGGCATCAGATGTCTCTAAGAAGTGTGTCTGGTTTGTATGGGCCTTCTATTCCCCTCAGGAGAGAGTCTCCCTTGAAAATGACCTGTCTTTTTTCCTTTATGGAAGCAGTTCTGATGCAAGGCATAGGTCAACATAACCTCGGTGACATCTCCAGCCTAGACAAACCATTGTCCTCGTTATTGTTCAATTCCACTTGCAGAGCCTCATACCTCTTTTGCAAAGGTACCTGGGAAGGTGGAGTACTCAGAGAGGAGTGCTGTATCAGGCACGAACTTGTCGCCATTGCCCCCTATCACTTGAGTCACCACATTCATTCAGGCAAAGAGAGGACAGGGAATCCTCTCTGTCATGTGTCCTGCCTGCCTGTTGGGCCTGTCCCAGGGAAGTTAGAGTGCAATTCCAGTAGTCTATCTCTCTCCCACACTCCCTGGTATTCCTCAATGTTGTCACCTCCTCCCGGAGCTCTGTCACTAAACAGAGGAGTTCCTCTCCTTGGATGCACCTCCCACAGGTGTGCTCAGTGCTGCTGTCCAGTACTGGGGTAAAAGCAGGGCCCACCCTGCAGCCTGGCACCTGGGTGGCAGCGTGTTCCCACTAGAGCTCTGTCTGGGAAGCTGTGTCAGTCATGTAGGTGCAGAGTTTAGAGTGGAGGTAGCCTTCTGCTTGTGGATACCATTGCTCCCTGGTTGAGCTGACAGAGCTACAGCACTCTTCCTCCAAGCCCTCCCACATGACCTGCCATGCAAACTGCCATGCCATGCCCATGCTGCCATGCCATGCCCTGTTTGCCCACCCTGTTCTTGGCACTTCTGGTCACTAGTGCTCCCCAGGAGCTTCTTTTATAGGTGTGGAATGGACTTGGAAGTCATTGTTCCTGGCCTTGCCCAGGTCTCGTCAGCCACTGTGGCATGAGCTGCATGCTCCTGAAATTGGCTCCTCCTGAGGTTTCCCCAGGTCAGGAAACCCCCCACTGTACTGTGTACCACGTTAGAGCATTTTACTGCACATTGTACTGCCACTGGAGCTGCTTGCCTTGGCAACTGCTGAGTCCTTCTTAAATATCATACTGGCAAGATAGATAGTGAAGTAAACTTGGAAAACCACAAAAATAAAACTTACATACAGAGTAATTTTGGATTCAGGACATTGCTATGGTAATAAGGGCACTGTCAGCCTGACCTGAAAAAGGTAGATTTTGATGTGTGTATATAAGCCCTTTCAAGCAGTGTATGCAAGCCATTTCCCTGGGGTAAAGGACTGATTCCTGTTCCTCTTGCATTAGCAGTTAGACAGAACAAATAGGAGAGGATGATTTTAAAACTTATTTTCATTTTGGACCTATTTGATTTCTGCATTTTGCATAAAGTGTTTGTAAGAATATTACAGATTAGGCTGTAAATTCAGAACAAATAACTTTTATCTAGAAATAAATGAAATTTATTTAAAGTTGTTGACAGTGCATATTTAACATGGTTGTTGATAAAGTGTGTAACAAAATTAACCTTTCCTCTTTTTTTACCCTATGATTTCATATTATTAAAAAAAAAAAAAAAAAAAAAAGGTATATTCCATGTGTATACACATGTGAACATCAGTTGAGAAATTCTGTGATTTAAGATTTAGGTTGGAGATGAAGGAGAAATGTAGGTCGTCCTGAAGGCATCGATAAACCTAAATATTCCTGATCAGCCTCACCTCAGGTCTCCACCTACACACCCTACTCATGGGCCCAGGAGCCCCATTTCAGCCTGAGTCTTCAGTTGCTCTCTGAACTGTGTTGTAGTCTTGGTGATCGCCAGCTCAGCAGTAGCAGTACTTGATCCCATTGATATTGACCTATGGACTGTTTTTCTGGCTTGACCTCAGCCCAGTCTCATCACTATGGTCCTGCCTGAACATCCCAGGGCTGTATCTGATTCTGGTTCCCCTTGAAATGAAACTTATTTTCATTGAACCAATTTTGTTTGCCTTTCTAGTTTCTTGATCAGTTACTTGCATAGTAATTTTTTTTTTTTTTTTGCAGGAATTGTATTCTTTAGATAGAAGCTACTGAGAGATATTTAAGCAAGTGACTACCAGTAGCTGTCAGAGCAGGAAAGCTTGGAATTTTTAATGGGAATTTATGAAGTGTGTAGCATGATAAGGGTGGTGAAGCATGTTCAGACTAAGTAAAACTGGCAGCATACATAGCTTTTAAAGGGATATATAACCTTTTTAAAGGTTATCTATCCATTCTCCCCCTTTCACTTTTCTCTGCCTGAAATAAATGCCTCCATAATTCCAATGAGATCTGAGATACTGCATAAAATTCACAGAAAACATAAAAGAAAAGGAGTATATTCCTGAATACTAGAAAAACACTTTAGTCAACTGAAGTTTTGTTCAGCTGTCTGAAACATTCATTGATTCTCCTTCTTATCCTGTTCTTTCCTTCTTTCATATGAATACATCCTCACACTGTGTATATTCTTTGAACTTTGTTAATTTTCAAATTTATTCTGACCTCTGTGGCTCTCATATTATCAAATACTACCCAAACTTCAACTCATTTTCAGATATAAGTAATTACGTAAAATATTTCCTTAGTTTAGAAACATTGTTTAAAGTATGAACTTGAAAAATAATCTTGTGTCTGTATTTATAGACATACAGTTAGGTACAATTTTTCAAATCATTATCTATATGCACCTGCTGTGCTCCTAATCCATGTTGTGGATGAGATTTGGGAATGAGATCTGAATATGCACCATACCATCATCCTGTCCATCATTCTATCTCCTCAGCTTTTTCTTCTCTTTCTGCTAAATTCTGTTTTTCTTCATAACAAACCTATTGTCAATAACTATGCAGCAGTACAAAAGGTCACTTAAGGGAATATGAATGTGTCATAAAACATCATGGTCTGCTATCTAGGCATGCCCTTTGTGTAAGGACCATGAGGACTCCAGTAGGCCTTGCTGGTCTTTACCAGCCCCACCTGGAACCCCATTGCACTCCATTACAGGAGTCTCATTTCAGTTCAGCCCTGGGCACCCAGCCCCGGTCCCAGCCCCAGTGACACTATGGGTGTGTGGGTTCTCAACTACATTTATGAACTTCAGCCCAGCACTTTAGATAGCCTGTGCCCTGGACAGACCTCTTGGATCCACAGTGTATTTAGTCTCTCACCCAGTCTCCTGCTGCTCATGACAGGATGTACCAGCCAGCTCCTGGTCCTGGCTCACCATTTGAAATGTTGCAAGCTGCTCATGGACACTGTTACTGGCACCCAGCTCTGCACAACACCCTCAGGACCTGTGAAATGGCAAGTGTTAGGGAGGACATGTCTTGCCCTGGGATCTTCATGGTGCTTGCCTACTCACCACAGAGGACTACCCACCTGTTTCTGTTTCCTGACACTTTGAGGTCAGTCAGGGTGTTTTCAGCACCCTTCTCTTGCTTTTAATCAAACAACATTTGTTTGCTTCCAATAGGATACATTAATAAGAAAGGTAGACTGTAGACCTATAAATTAATTAGGTGGGGTTTTTAGTGTTTTCATTATGGAAGAGTAATAAAACTATGTGGCATTTCAAGAGAGATGAAAGAAGGTCCAAGTCTCTTGATTAAGACTACCCTGTATTTGAAATTTAATGTGAAAATTTCTAAATCCCCAAACCACTGTTTTATTATTGATTTTGATAGTTGTTCCAAAAGTACAGAGTTTCAATCAGAGTGCT